TTATTTATATTAATATTTTATAATATTTTATGATAAAATATTAATACTGATATTATTGATGGTAATATTAACATATTAGTATTAATGTTATTGGTTATTGTGTTAATATGCATAATAATATACATAATATGCAGTGGAAATATGGAATTGCTTAATATGCAATTCCATTTCTGGGTTTATCATATCCAAAAAAAGTGAAAGCAGTACTGAAAGAGATATTCATAAAATGGGCATGGTGGCACACGCCTATAATCCCAGCACTCAAAAGGCTGAGGCAGGAGGATTGCTGTGAGTTTGAGGCCAGCTTGGAATAAATAGTTCAAGGCCAGCTGGAAGTAAATAGCGAGACCCCATCTCAAAAAAAAAAAAAAAAATGCAAACAAACAACACCCCCAAAAGAGATATAATCATATTCTTTTGATCATAACAGCATTATTCACCATTAAATAAAAATTACAGGAGGCCACTCTTTTGGACTAGGCTTCTACACTGGGCCCCAGCAGACCTGATTGAAAATAAAAATAATGTCATTGTACTGAAGTCCCATACTTCCACACTGTTGGTTTTTTTGGTACCAGGAATCAAACTCAGGACCTTGCGCTTGCTAGGTAGGCGCTTGTGCCCCTAAGCTATATCCCCGGCCCCATGCCACCACACTGAAATTTAGTTGTTATTTGACATTTTGAGAAATCATGACAATGCTTCTGAATGGGCATAATAAAGTTATTGCACCTTTAAATCCTTATCAAAGAAATAACTGGAGTATTTGATAGCTATTTTTTCTATTGTCTGTCTCCCTGTTTTTGACTTAGGAGGAAAGTAACATTGAAATGACCACAAGAATAAAGAAAAAGTAAAAAAGTCAGGCTTGGTGGTACACACCTGTAATCCCAGCACTTGGGAGGCAGAGACGGAGGAGCAAGGTGAGTTCGAGGCCAACCTGGGGTACACAGTGAGTTCAGGGACCACCTGCATTTAAAGCAAGACCCTGTCTCCAAAAAAAACAAACAAAGAAATCATGGCCAAGACTAATCTGCTCTTTATTTGTTTCCGCTTTTTTCAGCCTTTATCTATAAAACCAAATTCCACTCAGATCATCAGAACATTTGTTCTATTTTATGAAGAAGTGTTCTCCAATTCTAGCAATGCAAATGAAATCAACTGAGTTCCTTAGAATTAAATTTGACGTCACAGTGGCTCCAGTGTCCATTGATAGATGAGTAGATGCACAAAACACAGTCTAGCCATATAATGGAATACTGACTGTTCAACCTTACACAGGGCGGAAATCCTGTGATCTAAATTGGATCTGAAGTACGTTACTCCCCCACACTCATGTGCCAGAGGCTTGATTACCATCTGATGGGCTTTTGGGGATGGATTGGATCATGAAGGCTCTAAGAAGTGGATTAATTCACTGACAAGATCATAATTTGATCGCATTATTGGGAGGTGATGGAAACAGAAGGTAGGGACAAGTTGAAGGGAGTGGGGTCACGGGAATGTGATCCTGAGGACTTTATCTGGTTTCCAGTCCCTTTCTCCCTCTCAGTCTGTCTTGGCTTCTTGGCTGCCACGAGGCAAGCAGCTTTCTTCTGTCACATCCTTCCACCAAGATATTTCTTCTGCTTTGGAACCCCCGCTACCACGGACTAGACTACAACCTCTGAAACTGTCAGCTAAAATAAATAAATGTTTTTCTTTGGGGGTGGAGCAGGGATTCCCTATGTAGCCCAGCATGGTCTCCAACTGGTGGTTCCTCTGCCCGTCCCCTGAGTGTTGGGAAGGCAGGGGTGCACCCCCTCGCTTGGATTTCTCCTTAAAGTTGAGTTATGTCCAGTATTTTGTCACACCCATGAAAAGCTGACTAATACAGCCGGACATACTCTACAACACGGATGAACATGATGCATACTGGAACAAACTAGTCATAAAAGGACAAATCCTATAGGATTCCACTTACATGACGTAGCCAAATTCATACAGACTAGAATAGCGGGGCTGGGGATTTAGCTCAGAGGCACAGCGCCTGCCTGGCAAGCTCAAGATCGTGAGTTTGATTCCTGGTACCGGAAAAAAAAAACAAAAAACAAAAAAGCAAGCAAGCACAGACTAGAATAGCATGGCCAGGCCTGCTGAAGGGGAGTGCAGAATTAGTGTTTCCTGGATCCCTCTTTCTGTTTTGCACAACGAAGAGTTGCAGAGATTCTTGAGACATCCACGCTAAAGTTTCTAAACGCTACGGCGCAGTGCACGTACAAACGGTCACGACCGTCAACTGCATTTAACCATAAAGGACAAAATACCTCCCAGCAGGCTCAGGAGCGCCCACACCCCAACCGGCTGAAGGGTAGAGGAGGTCGTGAGTGGGATAAAGTTTCTGCCCAGCAAGGCGCGTGAAGCCAGGACACGATTAAACTCCGGGCGGGTGAGCGCCGGAAGGGCGGGGCCTAGGGAGGCTGCGGCCCGGAGGCCGGGCGCCACCGAGACTCACCTCCTAGAGGGGCCGGAAGCGGGCTGTTGGGGCGGCGCAATTCCGCCAAGAAGTTGAAGTAGGCGCGCGGAGCCAAAGTCATTAGAGCTCTAGGCTGCCCGGACGCGTCTGAGCTGTAGTGAGGCTCTGGGACCCCCTTGCGCCTCAGGCGTTCCAGCCGGGTTCTAGCTGCGCTGCGCCGGAAGCCTGACTCGAGTCTTCCCACCGCCGCCGCGAGGCCCCCAGGTAAGCTGGCGCAGCCCTGTCCTGCCCCTCTGCCTTCGCCCCAGCCTGCGGGCCATCTCTTCTGCCAGTAATAGTTTTACCCTTTGACTTACATTGGTGCCTTCGTCGTAGCCCACTGCACTGTGTATGTGGGGCTGTTTCTGTTTTTGCCCTTGGCCTGCATGTCCGTCTTTATGCCGCCTCCTCCCGGTCTTGGTTACTCTAGCTTTACAGGTGTGATGCTGGAATAATCCAAGGCTGCCTGCGGCGGCAGCCAGTACAGGGCCAGCACTACTCTGGAGCAGAGTAGAAAGAGTTGTGGAATTGGAAGGAAGAAATTAGGCTCGTTCAAGGGCCGGCCTTGAATAAGACGGAGGGGTTTTCTCCTCAAAGTTCCATTTTGAGGGGCGCAAAGAGCAGAAAGGAGGAGCAGAGCAGGAAGTCTACATGCTGAGAGGTCTCTTGATCATACAGAGTTTATCCCTCATCCTCTGTCCTTCCCCCATTTCATCCTGCGGAACTGGGGCTTGAACCCACGGCCTCAGCCCACTTGCCTCGGGCAAGCGCTTTATCACCTTCCCCCCCACACAAACACACACGTACAGTTTCTTTTTTTTTTCAATTACAATAATCGCGCGTCGGATAAACCTCATTGGCTACGGTACTGCCACTGTGCAAAGCTCACACAGTTTTTAACGTAGGGTCTGTCTAAATTGTCCAGGCTGGCCTTAAAGTTGTCATCCTCCCGTCTCAATTCCTGAGTAGCTGGGATTACAGGGGTGGGTCACCACAACATCCTCTGGCTGTAGGTCCTTTTAGATATATGTAATACTTTTCTTGGGAGGGGGGTGTCCCGTGGATTGAACTCAGAACCTTTGCACTGAGCTACATTCCCAGACCTCTATTTTTATTTTATTTTACTTGTTTTTTGTTTTCTTGAGACGGGGTCTGGCAGTGTATTTAAGGCTGGCCTTGAATCTGCGGCAGTCCTCCCGCCTTAGCCTCTGGAATGCTAAGATTACAGGCGTGTGCTACCACACCTGGGTTATTTTTAAATTTCAAGATAAGATTTAGTTACTTTTGGAGCCCAGGCTGGGCTCAATCTCGAACCTGCTGTCTCAGTTTTCCAACCTGTGGGGATTATAGTCTTGCACCACCACACCCAGTTCAACTACTTTTTTGACATTTAAAGCTGACATCAGTTTGTTTTGTTTTAATTGTTACATAGAACTAAAGCCTAAAGAGAGGCATTACAAAGGTCAACAAATACAAGCTGTGTAATTCTAAAAGATTTAGCAGTTAACATTTTAACCATTTAGGAGGGTCTTCTGTTTAGAATGCCAGGCAAAAGAGACACCACATAAAAAGATTAGGGTGGTACAACAACCTTTCTTTCAGAAAGGTAAAAAAGCAGTAACTGCCAAGGATAACTCTTGAGGAGACACCCTGTTGTAGGTAGTGTTAAACTCAGACAGTGTGGCTGGACATGGTGAGGAATGCCTGTAATCCTAACACTTGAGAGGCTGAGGCGGGAGATTTGCCACAAGTTCAAGCCTAGCCTGGGCTACATAGTGAATTCAAGGTTAGCTTGAACTACATAGTCAGACCTGGCCTCAAAAAAAAAAAAAAAAAAAAAAAAAGGTTATTCTTGGGCTTTGCATTTCCATATATTATTTTTATAATTATCCTGTTAATTTCTACAAAAGTCTGTTGAGGGGGCTGGGGATTTAGCTCAGCGGCAAAGCACCTGCCTGGCAAGCGCAAGGTCGTGAGTTTGATTCCCGGTACTGGAAGAAAAACAAAAACAAACAAACAAAACCACAGAAGTCTCTTGGTGTTTTCATGGACTTGTGGAATCTGTAGATCAGTTTAGAGAGAGCTGAAAACATCTATAAACATGGGTGTGAAGATGTGGTTTTGGAGACAGGGTCACTATGTAGCTCAGGCTGGCCTTGAACTCACTATATAGTCCAGGCTGGCCTCAAACTCCTCCTGCCTCAGCCCTGAAAGTGCTGGGATTATGTGCCACCATGCCCAGATCCCACGGGTAATTTACCCATTCCCTGATACATTTCCTCCTGACATCCTTGGAATCTGAAGTCAATGTCTTGTTTTGAGGTACTCGGGATGGAACCAAGGTCTTCACACTGAGCTACATGTATCTTCAACCCTTTTTTTATTTTTTATTTTGCAAACAGAGTCTTGCTAAATTGCCCATGTTAAACTCAAATTTGAGATTAATCCTCTTTCCTCAGTGTCCTTAGTGCTGGGATTACAGGAACATGCCCCCAAGCCCAGCTTTCTGTATATATTCTTAAACAATGAAATATCATTCAGCTGAGTAAACAGTCAAATTTGTTTTCTCTGTGCAATCACACTGTAATGAAATTATTCCCTCTGATCATTTTTCCTTGATAAAAATCCTATGCTTTCAGCCTGCCAATTTCCACATGAAAGCTAGCTTATTTTCAGGTTTGGTAACATCGTCACAAAATTTTTCCATTCCTTCTGCTCCTAAACTTTATCAGAATCTGCGTACTCATAAAACCAAGCCAGGCACTTGCTTAAAAAATGTTCCTTTCCTTTTACTAGTCTGGCCAGGGGTTGGGATCTGCAGTAGCTGGGGATTTTTACATCTTTGGGTGCAGGGGTAGAGATTTTACATTTTTTCAGGCCTCTATATTCTGCTACTGGCTGCCACCCTGGAGGATTTTTTCTTCACTGTCATCTTCTTCCCTACCTGACAGAGTACACAGGGGAGCCAGGAAAGGACATTGGTGTCCCCTGCAGGTCCCTTAGCTTTGGCACTGGTTCCTAGAAACAGCAGCAGGCGGAGGAGCAGAGCCACCACCCCTCACTGGCATGGCCCAGCTGCTTCCCATTCCCAGGTCTCGTCTTGCTTGTGGACATTATGGTTCGGTGTCACTAGAAAATAGCACTGCTGGTGCAGGACCTCCACTAGTTACAGGAAGCCCAGAATTTCAATTATGGTTTTTCTCCTTTGTCCTACTAATGTGGTAAATAGTGTTGGTTCATTTATGATTGACATTAGAAAAGTTGGGGCATTGTCTTAGTTAACTTTCTTGTTGCTGTCAGGACAAAATACCTGACAATCATAAGTTAAAGGAGGAAAGGTTTATTTTAGCTCACAGATTATAGAGCCCATAGTCTAGTTGTAAGGCAGTGCAGCATGGCAGAGGAGAGACAGTTCATGGTGGGGCAGGCAGGAAGCAACAGGCCTTTCTTTCCTTGTTTAATTATTTACTTTAATAAATTAAATAAGTACTTCAATAATTAATTTAATAAATACTTTAATAAATTTATTTACTTAGGTTTTAGTTTTTTGAGACAAGGTCTCACTATTTAATTCAAGCTGGCCTCGAACTTGAAGCAATCCTCCTGCCTCAGCCTCCCGAGTGCTGGGATTACAGGGATGTGCCACCATACCTGACCCATTCTTTTTTTTTTTTTTTTGTCTTTTGAGTCAGGGTCTCACTATGCAGTTCAGGCTGACTTTCAGCTCACTTTGTAGCCCAGGCTGCCTCAAACTCTCAACTATCCTCCTGCCTCAGCCTCCTGAGTTCTGGGATTACAGGCATGCGCCACCACTCCTGGCACTTGGCCCATTCTTTCCTTTTTATTTCACCCAGACTACAGCCTATTGCTTGGAGCACACACACACACACACCCAGGGTAGGTCTTCCTCCTTCAGTAAATCCATCACCCACACCCATAACTCTGCTAAACCAATCACTGGACTGATCCAGTATCACACACCTGCTATCCAGCCACCTCCCAAAAGCCCCACCAGACTTTGGAGGACCTCTAGATACAAGCTATAACAGGCAGCCATTGTGATTAAAGTTGATGCCATGCTCTTGAAAGGAAAAACTCAGTTTATTGAGGATTTATAGACAGAAAGGAGCTTGTCTGGGCAGCTGCAAGAGAAAAGACTCCCTGCACTCTGAGGCAGACGTAAGGGGTTTATGTGCTGAGCTGGACAATGGTGGGCCAGGTTTAACCAGAATATACCTGGTCTTTCTGAAAAACCATCTTGGCCTTGCATAACCACACTGAGGACTATCTTAATTCTCAGGTCAGCTGGCAGACAAAAATGCCATCTTACGGCCATGACAAGGTGGATCCCTACAAACTGCAAGTTGGAGAATATATAAAAATGTTTAACAGGTGTAACTAATAAGTCTCTGGAGGAAGAAGAGATAGCGATTATGAGGGGAGGTAGGTATAGGTAACACCACCGAGCAGGGGCTGGCTGGGTAGTCTCTTACAGGGGTTGGGCCTCCCAAACTTCTGGTCACTGGCTCCACCCAATAAAAAACAAAACAACTTTGTGCTCGCGCATAAACTCACTTGATCATGATGTAGAATTCTTTTTATATATATCTGGACTTGGCATCCTGGTATTTTAGGAACATGTGGGTCTTTGTGAGAGAGATTGGTCTATCCTAGAATGTTAAGGTTTTGGCTCAGGGTTGTGCTGACCTCACTGGAAAAGTATAACAGGTAGAGCCTAGACTTCCTTGGCTTTGTCAGTTTAGTAATGTCTTTTTAGAGTTTGTCCATTTCATGGAATTGCTGAACTTGTCAGCATAAAGTTGTTCATCATGGCCCTTGAGGGGCCTCCTGCTGTCCATAGGATTAGTAATGAGACTTCCTCTTTTCATGTCTGATGGGGGAATAAGGTATAGACTGTTTTCCCGAAGCTTCTTTTTTGCGTGACTTGGGACGGGCCTGGGGGTCCAGCTTCACTCTAGAAACACAAGCCTGGGGCAGAAGCACTATCCCTGCAGCAGGTTGGGGAAGCAACTGGCCCACCCTAGAAACTCAGTACAGATTAGTGTGTTTGCTAGGGCTGCCTCATTTTTAATGTGAGGGAGATTGACCTGTGGCCTCTGGTGGGAAAGTGCCTAGGGACGTTTTTCACATTGGGAACAGCCAGCTTGCCCACCTGGACCCCCAGTGCCTCTGTTGGGGTTTTAGTCCCAAGCTCTCTAGTGGCAGGTCTGCAGCTGAGCTGTTAGCGTTCAGCCCGAATTGGCTGCTCTCAGCCTCACCTAGTGACAGATCTGTCTTGGTTACTTTTCTCTCGTTGCTGAGACAAAATATCCAGCGCTCAAAATGAAGGAAGGAAAGGTTTATTTAGCTTACAGTTTGTGGAGGTTTCAGTCCGTACTTGGCTGGCTCCGAGGCAGAAGGTAGCAAAGCAACAAGAACAAAGGGGGGAATGGCAGCTGAACAGCAAAGCAGCCAGAGCAAAAGGGAGGAATGGTGGCAAGCAACCTCTTTCCCTCCCTTACGCCCTCCTCTTCCACAGGCTCAGGATGTATACAAAGTAAGCACCCTGGCTTCCTGCTAAGTCACTTAGCCAAACCTCTAGACTCCCCAAGTTGACACACTGTGGCCTCTGGTGGGAACGTGCCTGGGGATATTTTTCACATTGGGAACAGCCAGCTTGCCCACCTGGACCACCCCCCCTCCCCATGCCTCTCTTGGGGTTTTAGTCCCCAGTGGCAGGTCTGCAGCTGAGCTGTTAGCGTGCAGCCAGAATTGGCTGCTCTCAGCCTCACCTAGTGACAGGTCACACCTGCTTCTCGATGTTGCAGAGTTTTTGTGCATCCTGTGTACCTCCCTGGCCAGTGCACACCGTAGCCCTGTGGGAGGGGGTGCTGCTGGTTTTTCCTGAGCTCCCTGGAATTGCAGGTGGGGGCAGCCTCCAGTGGCTAGGTGGGGTTCCTAGGGCTGCTCCTCATGCTGGTATACTTTGTTTCCCCAGAGCAGCTGCTTCTGGCACCTGCATGTCCCCAGGGTGGGCAGCTACTGCTGTTCCCATGGATGTGTCCCAGGTAAGCCCACAGCCTCCCTCTGCCCAACAAGACCCCCAGGCCCCAGCGCAGGCAGGGAGGCTTCCTGCCTGGGTCCGCCTTTTTGCTTGTTCTCTTTTCATGAGGATGGAGGAAAAGGAAAAGAATCTAGTTTACATACATTATGAGCAGAATAGATGTGATAGTAAGCTTAGAAAATCTGTTTGAGTCTCTTAGGTGCTGTCTTAGGTCTACTACAGCTACAAAAACAAAGTACTGCCAGGGAGATAGCTCAGCAGCACAGTGCCTGCCTGGCAAGCGCAAGGTCCTGAGTTCAATTTCCAGTATTCCTCCACCCCTCAAAAAAACCCAGTCTGGGCAGCTTAAACAGAAGGAAGGCGTTTACTTCTCTGTTCTGGGGCTCCAAGTCTAAGATCGAGGTGCTAGCGTATTCAGTTTCTAGTGAGGGCTGCTTCCTGGCTTGTAGAGACCGTCTTTGCACTGTGCCCTAATGTGAGGGGAGAGAGCCAGGGAGGCCTCTGCTTTCTTATGGAGATTTACTACCCTTTGTCAGGGGCCCTGCTATAGGAACTCATTTAACCTTGCTTCCTTCCTTAGAGGCCTCGTTTCCACTATAGTCAAAATGAGGGCTAGGATAGCATGTGAATTTGGGGGACACAGACATTTTGTCCATAACTAGTGCCTTCGCTGTGCTTAGCTGTGTGCTTCTTGGGCTGTTCTTCCCTGGAAATCACCTGCCTTTACCCCTCCTGTGGACTCCTGGGTTTCAGCACCTCTGTCTCTCTTGCCGTCTCTCAGGAGCAGGTAGTCCTGGAGCCACCATGCATGTTTCAGTTGCCAGTGACCTTCGAGGATGTGGCCGTGTACTTCTCAAGGGAAGAGTGGGAGTGTCTCAGCCTCAGGCAGAAGGCCCTCTACCGGAATGTGATGCTGGACAATTTCAGGAGCGTGGTAGCACTGGGTGAGATTGCATGTGGGGTTCAGAAGCTGGGGATCCTTCCTGCATCCAGTCTGGTTCACACAGAGATGGGGTGTTGGTGTCTAGACTCCCTTCTTCCTGTCCTGTCTGTATTCTAGTGGCTTCTCCAGGAATCTCTTAAGAATGGTTCACATTATGCTGACCCGGAACTAGCCTGAGCCACACCCCGCACTTTGTCTTCTACATTAATGAAACACTGTTTCTCTCTTTTGAGAAGGATTTTGCGGCCCCAGACCAGACCTTGTCTCTCACCTGGAACAGTGGGATGAGCTGTGGATTGAGGACTGTGAGAGGGCTGAGCTTCAAGAAGCACAGAGTGGCCCCTGCCCAGGTGAGCACCATGGGGTCTGGCCTGGGCTTGGCTGGCTCAGCCCTACACCGCCCTGTGGATCCCCAGCACACAGCCCCAACCAAGGGTCCCTTCTCCTCCCCCCGGGAGAAGGACTGAAACTGTCCACATGAGGGGCTACAAGCACACAGGCCAGGCGTGGTAGTGCAAGCCTAAAATCCCAGCACTTGGGAGGCGGAGGTGGGAGGATCATCACAAGTTTGAGGCCAGCCTGGGCTACATAGCAAGACCTTGTCTCACAAAAAAAAGAAAAGAAACGGTGGCAGCAGCCACTTTCCTGCCGGAACCCTGCTAGGACAGACATTATGTGTGCAGGGCCAGGGGTGGCTTAGGGAGGTAGGAAGGGGTGTCTGTGACGATTCTGTGGAAGGTGTCTGAGGCCCGGCTGTGATGGCCACCTGGGCCTAAGGCCTGAGGTACCTGCTCCTGGTGGGGGTTTCCAAGCATGTGGCCGGGCCAAGCATGTGGCTGTGGGGAGGTTCTTCATTCCACGTGTCTGCTCAGTAGTGCTCCCTCCCTCCAGTAAATGAGGCGGTGGTCTCGGTAGTGGCTATGTAAGTTTTTGGGCTTTTTCCCTTTGTTCTGCAGTGTAGGGGTAGCATGCATGACTTCGTGTGTGCTAGGCCAGTGCTCTACTGTGTAGCTACTTTCCAGCCCCAGGTTTTACTTTTTTCCTTATATCCCCTCACAAGTGAGATCAAGCAGCTCCGTGCCTCAGACAGACTGAGAGGTCCCTGGATTACGTGTAGCCGCAAGCTGGGGAGGGTATCAGGTCCTACACTGGGGCAGCTTATGGCTCGGGAATAAGTGGTCTGTATTTTGGAGCTCTTCTTCCAGCCAGGGCAGGCCTGCTGGTGGATACGTGCACGTTTAGAGGACATTCTCTTGGGTCAGTTGTTTGCTAGGTAGATACACATGAATATATGCTATTGGGCTATTTAAACCAACTTACAGTACTTCACTATGCTGGTCACAGCAAGGTTGGTCTAGCTGCTATCTAGTTGGGTGAGCATTTCAACTGAGTTCATTTTAAGTGTCCCGGTATTAGTAGTTTTCACTTGTCTCTGCCTTAAACACATTTTCTTATAACTCATGCCACTTTTTGGAGTGACTCCCTAATTAGATTGAAATGAGTTGATTTAACATTTGCTAGCTTTTCCTATACTGGCCTGTCCCTGGGCCATCTAACCTATGCAAACGTTTTGGTATCTTCCACAGGGGCGAGGAAGCTGGCTGACCACGGGAGGCGCTACCGCCAGCTGACTTGGGCTCACGAGAAAATCCCCCTGCAGGGAAGAGTCCCAAACACGCCCCCCACAAGTCATACACACTTTCCCAGAGCTGCTTTGGGGCAGAGGGCAGATGAGCTTATAGCTCTGCAGGCCCAGGTGTGTGGTGAGTCCTGCAGGCAACAGCCAGGCCTTGGGGAGCAGCGCAAGGGCAGCACTGGACCGCAGGTGTTTATCTGTGGCACATGTGGGAAGGTACTGAGCTGCCATAGTCGGCTGGCTGCCCACCAGATGGTGCATTCTGGTGCCAGGTCCTTCTCGTGCCTCGAGTGTGGCCAGGCCTTCCGCTGGGTCTCGAACCTCCTGCGCCACCAGAGGAACCACACGAGTGAGAAGCCCTTTTGCTGTGAGCTGTGCGGACAGGCCTTCAGCCTGAAGGACCGTCTAGTGCAGCACCGAAAGGTGCACACGGGGCACCGGCCCTACGAGTGTGGTGCCTGTGGCAAGGCCTTTAAACAGAAGTCTAACCTGCTGCGCCACCAGCTGGTGCATACTGGTGAGAGGCCCTTCCACTGTGCCGTCTGCAGCAAGGACTTCCGCACCAAGGAGAACCTCAGCCACCACCAGAGGATCCACAGTGGTGAGAAGCCCTATACCTGCTCTGAGTGTGGCAAGGCCTTCAGGTGGCCCAAGGGCTTCAGCATCCATCAGAGGCTGCACCTGACCAAGAGGGTCTATGAATGCGAGCACTGTGGGAAGGGCTTTCGCCACCTGGGCTTCTTCACACGGCACCAGAGGACCCATGGGCACGGCGAAGTGTAGAGGTGCCTGGGTCCAGCAGTGCTGTACCCTGGCCAGAAGATGGGTCAGGGGGACAAGTTGGCAGCAGTCCCTATCTAGCCTGGAAGAGCCCTTCTTTCTCCTTGAAACAACTGTTCAGAGCTTCCTGGATCCCCCAAGTTCTACCAGGAAAACTGCTGTCGGGAGGGGGATCTGGAGTGCATCATCAGAGCCACAGTGCTATTTCCTAGGTACCCTGGGCCCAGGATGGTCTTGAAGCTATGTGCAGTCCTGAGCGAGTGGACAGAGAAGTTCCTGGCATTTTGCCCTTCCCAGCATCCATGGCTCCGCCCAGGAACCAAACCCCGCCCAGAGTGTCACTCCTGTGCACTTTAACTTCCTTTCCTTACTCTTTTCCCCTCACCTGTGCTTTCTCCTGTCTTCCGTCTGGCCTAAACAAGGCAGCTTTAATTGCACAGAATCAAAGACCCTTCTGCAGGCTTCACAGGGGGGACTTTGAAATGAGCACCTTTGTAATGTTGCAAGCCTTAAAGGATTATGGAAAGACCTGGACTCACGTTCAGGGTGTGTGACAGTGCACTGCATGTGTGGGGAAAATATCCTGTGTGTACAGGACAGTCGCAAGTCTGTCAAAGCTTCATCCTCACAGGGCTGCTCTCTGGTGTGGTTTCTCAAATTCAGATTGACTCTCAGGTTGTGTTTTTGGTAAAACGGCATCGCATCTTCTATTTATTTGTGCTTATTAGGTTGTGATTGGGGAAGGCTATTCCCAGGCTTGGGTGGGGACCCCTGTGGATCCTCTGAACAGCCCTCTTGCTTTAGGCCCAGACCTCTGCCCAAGGGCAGAACGGTCAGAGTGCCAGTTGGAGACAGCTAGAGCCTCTGCTTCTGGGTATGTGGGCAAGGACTAGACACCAGCCCTGCATCCTCATGGGGCCATGAGCCATCGTGATCCTGCCAACTGGGATTATTCAGCTTAGCCCTGGGTCGAACTCAGGATCTTGCACTTGCCAGGCAGGTGCTTGTGCCGCTGAGCTATATCCCCACCTTTTTTGTCTTTTTGAAATAGGGTCTCACTATGCAGTTCAGGCTGGCCTTGAGCTCACTTTGTAGCCCAGGCTGGCCTCGAACTCGCAATGATCCTCCTGCCTCAGCCTTCCGAGTGCTAGAATTACAGGTGTCTACCACCATGCCTGATTGGTACACTTTAGATATACATAGTAATAACAAAAAAACCCAACAATAAAGATATACATAGTAATCACATTCATCATAGGGAATTTATACCTGTATATAATATATCTTGATTTTTCTTCTTCCGCCACATGTAACTTCATCTAGCTGGGGATATAGCTCAGCAGCACAAGCATCTGCCTGGGAAGTGTAAGATCCTGAGGTCCTGAGTTCAATTCCCGGTTCCCCCCGCAAAAGTAACTTCATCTAAACCAAATCACCTCCCAGAGACCCCCCCTCTGCTGTATCATGCCATTGAGTTTAGAGTGCCATACACGTTTTCAGGGGATACAGTTCAGGCTACCCAAGGGACTGTGGACAGCTTTTCTTTTGCTTACGTCATCCAAGCCCATGCAAAAATGCATGTGTTTTCTTCTACCCACAGTTGCTGGGCAGGTGTTTGTGTCCTGGCCAGTGGGGAAAGTTGGGAAGGCTTCAGGTGGTTGAGTGCAGGTAAAAAGGCCTGTTATGGAATGGAGCATCTCGTACCTATGGGCAGTGGGTTCCAAGGAAGATACAATCTGAACTGAAGGATTTTTTTTTTTTTTTTCAGTTCTAGGAATTAAACCCAAGTACATCCCTAGGCCTTTTTAATTTTATCTTCAGAGAGTCTTGCTATGTTGCCTAGACTGACCTTGAACTTTTTCAACCCTCCTGCCTCAACCTCCTGAGTAGCTGAGGTCTCAGAAGCACTAGGTCCCACAGGGGAGGTGACAGCTGCTTCTTTGAGGGCAAGCCTGGCCCCAGTATTTCACTTTGTGGTATTCCTGTATATGGCCTCTTGGGATCTAAATCATGGACCTACTAAATGAAACGCTTTGGGAAATGTGGAATGGGTCAATTTTTGGTTTTTGAGGCATGGTCTCACTTTGTAGTTCAGACTGACCTTGAACTGACTATGTATCCCGGGCTGGCCCTGAGCTCATGGTGGTCTTCCTGCCTCAGCCTCCAAAGTGCTAGGATTACGGGTGTATACTACAGACCCAGCTGGAATGTGTAGATTTTGAACAACAGTATTAAAACATCTGACTCCCCAGAATGAGCCTAAGGGTGGAGCCTCTCCATGTTGCCCTCTGCTTCCACATGCACCCTGGTTAAGGGAATGTGACAACCCGCTTCACTGTGCAGTGCCGAGATGTTCCCACGTCTCAACTCAGACAAAGGCAAGCAGCCTCCAGAGCGGTGAGCCAGGGCAACTTCAACAACCTCTGAAGATGCTCACTAGTGCTACAGTGCCAGTACAGTATACAGAGGTGTATACTTATAATCCCAGCTACTTGGGAGGCTGAGGCAGGAGGATCACAGGTTTGAGGCCAGCCTGAGCAGTTTAGTGAGGGGCAGTGGCAGAAGTTTTACTCTCTGCTATCTTAAAAATTTAAAGGATCCAGGATGTAGTTCAGTGGTCATGTTCACCTGTAAGACGAGAGACACTGGATTCAATCACCAGTTCTGAGGTGGAAAAGAGCAAATGAGTTCCTTGACTGGAACTTTTAGGAGAGTTTTCTAATGGGCTAGCCTGGTTCTGTCTGCCACAGGCAGCAACATAGTAGTCCACAGAAGGTCCCATTGTCAGCGCTGGAGCTGTTCTTGTCCCAGAGGGGTTGGGAAGACAAGATGCCCCCTGTACTCGGTCCATACCTACCCTGGATGTTTCAGAGATGCTGGCTTCGGTCACCCCATGTGTAGCCAGAGCATTCTACATGGTTCCCAGCGTGCACCACAGCCCTTGTCCCCACTGCAGCTTACTGCTGTGTGGGACACTGCGTATGATTGAACTCCCTCTGTAGGAGGACGGAACAATTCTAAAAAGAAATTTTTAAAAATGTTAAAAAAGAAAAAAATTTAAAAAGTAACAGTAAGCAGGATTGCAGTGTCTGGTACCAGCAGACCAGGCAGAACACAGGCCTGGCTTGGGTACCCATTGGGACGCCACTATGGGCAATGGAGCACCTCAGCCTGTGTGCTCTGCAGGGTCAGGTGTGGGTTCCGGGACTTCCTGAGGGGACCTGAGCTTGCTCCCCTGGTACATGAGAGCAGCTTCTTCAGACTTGATAAATCAGCTTCTTCAGACTTGATAAGTCTGGGAGGAGCTGGGCGTGGGGGCACATACCTGTAATCCCAGGAGGCTGAGGCAGGGGGATCATTTCGAGTCGGAGGCCAGCCTGGGCTACAAAGTGAGCTCACGGCCAGCTTGAACTGCATAGTGAGACCCTGCCTCAAAAAGACCAAAAAAAAAAAAAAATCTAGGAGAGATGTCTCAAAGGAGGACCACAGAGTGCTCTGTGTCATCTCCCAGCCCACCTCCACCTTCGAGAGACTGACAGGAGCTTCTCTGTTCCCTGAGTGGCTCCCGGCCCAGGCATGTTACCATGTGTTTAGTGCACAAGTAGAAATCTAGTACTATTTCCCTGGTTGTTTTTTATTCTAACTGTGCAAATAAAGTCCAGCCCTTAGGCATATGTGACAGATACTGGGATACTTCCCCAATGGCTGCTGCCCTGGTCCTGGCTGAGCTGTTGGCTTGAGGTTCCCTTTGTCCTGGGGCTGCATCTGGCAACTGGCTGCAGGGGTGGGTGTCTCCGCTGTGGTAGCTCTCACTGGCCCACCAGGCTGACCAGACTGGGAAACAAGCCCACGTGCTCTTGTCGGTGCTAATGCCTCTCCTCCCCTCCCCAGCAGACCCTGGGGTCTGATTTGTCTAACAAAGATAAGGCAGGGTAGAGTGAGGTTCGGGTCCCCTGACTAGTAAATCTAGAAAAGACTTGGTACACGCTGTGTTAGAGAAATGCATTCCAAACCGTAATTCCACACAAGCTTTTATTGGACCCAGCTCCACTTACCCACAGCCACCTTGAGTTGTAACCACCCTCACCTCCCCTGGGTAACCCTGCTTGGATTCCTGCATAGTTTCCCCGCAAACTATACATGCACAAACCCACCAGGGTGGTGTATGGGGCTTTACAGCTGGACCCCGGCTCCCTGGATGCCAGGAATGTTGAGATTACCCTGAGGTAAACCAGTTGCACTCATGCTCCAAATGACTTTTGTCTTAATACATAGGCCCCTGTTTCTGACCCTAACCATGGGATCCATTGGTCTTGCCCTATCCAGGACCAGGCTTTCATTACTGAGTCGCCCAATAAATTATAGTCTGGATCTGTTTGCCTTTCTTTGGTCTCAGATACCTTGGGCCCAGTCCTCACCCATGTAGCTGGGCTATTCTGAAGCAGCCTTTTACTAAATACAGTATACCTATCTAGAAAATAGCAAAGAGTAAAACTTCCACCACTGTCCCTCACTTTTCAAGATCTCTGAACTGTGGCTGTGCCAGATGCCCATGCACAGGGAACGAGCTGCTGCCATCAGCGGCCCTGGCTGGCTTTATACCTGTTCCTTGTCTCCTTGGACCATACCCTTCACTGCATTCCTGTGATCTGCTTGTTTCTCAGAGCTGATCCCAGGAATCAGCTGTTGATCACCAAACTGAGCTGATACTGGAACATCTTGCCCTAAAGGTAAAGTGGCACCACAGGGCACCTGCCACCTCTGAGTGGCACCGAACCCTAGACTACCTGTGTTATGGATTAGATCTAGATGTTTCATTAATGTCTCGTCGTTTCCAGGCACGGTGACACACCCCTGTAATCCCAGCACTCTGGGATCTGAGAGGCTGAGACAGGAGGATTGCCACAAGTTAGTTCAAGGCCATTCGGAACTACATAGCAACATCCTGTCACACACACAAAAGGAAAAGCCTCACATTCGTAGATGGGGGCTTTTGAAAGGTGACTGAATTATGGGGATGTAGCTGTCTTGCTATTAGGAGGTTCCTCTGGGCCTGTGGGGGATACTCCTCAGTGCTTCCAGCTTCTGGTTTTGCTGGCAATCCTTGATGCTCCTTGGTCCAAAGATACCTAGCTCTAGTCTGCTTCATCATCACAGCATTTTCCCTGCGTCTGTCTTCACATGGCCGTTTCCGTGAGGACAAGTGTCTGTAGGTTGGAGTACACCGCTGGGACAGTGGGTGAGTTTCCAAGGAAGGAATTGCACTGCCGGGGTGAAAGACAGGGCTTTATAGAGGTTTGAAGTTGTGGAAGGAGCCTGAGGTCATTGATACAAATGTCCTGGGAGTGTTGCCTTTAGATCACTGTGGACTGTGTTCGTCTCACAAGAACACCTATCATGAGAACCAAGGTGACACGGTCTATTACTTGACCTCACAGGAAGCCCAGAGGGCTCGGGATGAAAATCACAGGCCACAGAGCCAGGCGTGGTGGTGCGCCCCTGTAATCCCAGCAGGAGGATGGCTGCAAGTTCAAGGCCAGCCTGGACTAAAACTATGTAGTCTCAGAAAAAAATGTTTAGAGCTAATAGACTTTGCATGCTTCTGTGTGTGTGTGTGTGTGTGTGTGTGAGAGAGAGAGAGAGAGAGAGAGAGAGAGAGAGAGAGACAGACAGACAGACAGACAGACAGAAAGAAAGAGAGAGTGGAGATTGAACCCAGGGCCTTCTCACTGAGCCACATTCCCAGCCCTTTTTTAAAATTTTGAGGCAGGGTCTTCCTTTGTTGCTAAATTGCCCCTGGCTGGTCTCCAACTTGAGATCTACCTGCCTCAGCCTCCCACAGTGCTGCAGTTAGACATGCCATCATTCCTAGCTCCAACTTTTAAAAAATGTTTGAATCATTCTTGGCAAAAATCTACTTCCAACGCTGGTATGCTGGAATACCTCCACTGTTCCCAACTCCCACCTTCCTCTAGGAACTAGGAGGGAGGTTGGGTAGGAGATCCACTTGGTTCCCTGGAGGAGACCCAAGGGCATAGTCTCAGGAGGGGCTTCCAAGGGCCTGGGGTATCCCCTGGAGAGCCATCACTCAGGAGCTAACTGTGCAAACAGCTAGCTCAGACGCATGAGTGACCAAACAGGGACCACCAGGCACACTGCTGCCCACCAGAATTTTCTCTGCCCTGGGGTATCTCCTGGTCCAGTCCTCTGAGTACCTTTGGGCCAGGGCCCACGGCATGGACAGTGTGGGGCACGTCTCTTCATGATTGACAAGTTCAAACAAATTCGAAGTCTAGGAACTGTTATAACTGGCTTTGCACATTGAGACATGTCAGTGAAACACAAGTCGTAACCCTGGGAAAAGCAGCGGAGGTCAGAAGGATGCTGTTGGAACAAGTGACAAGGTCTGAATGTGAGCTACAGTTTAGATGGTAGTATTTTCTCCATGGTGCAGTTCCTGCTTTTGATTTTTGTACTGCGGTAAAGTAGAACAGCCTTTTATCCGGGAACTACACAGGGGTTAAGGGACATGTTGTCTCCAACCCAAACCCAGATAGCTCAGAACTGTACACACGTGGACACCAAGTAACGGACCTAAAGGGTAGGCCTGCAGATGCCCAATAGGTAACTAAAAACAGGATGAGCATTGGCATCTCTGCCTTTATTTTTTGTATGTTTCATTTATTCCCTGAAAACTTTATGTCAGATTCCTGCTCAGCTGTGTACCCAGACTCTTAATCCCTTTAGGAGTATCTGTAATACAAAGTTTATTAGCCCTAAGTTTACCTAACTCATTCCCCTTCAAGACCAAGGACTCCAAGATAAAGAATTTCAGGGAGGCCAACTGGTTGCTTTTACAAGGTCCAGTTCCAGACCCCCTGGAGCGGTGTTTAGAAAGTCTTTAGTCACTGTCCTATACCTGCTGCCACCTGGATTCCAGGATAAGCAGAGCCTTGCAGACCATCCCATGATGAGGTCACCCCTCAAGTGGGAGCAATTACCCTATGAACCAACGCTGCCCTCCTATGCAGGAACCATTACCTAATGATGGGAACCAAATTGCCCACCCCCCAAAAAACAATAAAGGCTGTCCCAGAACCTTGAAGAACCAGTCCTGAGATACTGATCAACCAGATCAGGACTTGACCAAGATTCCTTGCTGTGCTGCCAGCTATGCAAACCCTTGCCTTTTCGCCAGCCCCACCCGCTAGCACTCGGGCCTTTGCATTTAGCTACATCTCCAGCCTTTTTATTTTTTACTTGGAGATGGGGGTCTTATTAAGTCCCAGGCTGGACTCAAACTTGCAGTCCTCTGTGTCAGCCTCCTGGAGTGCTGGCATCACAGCACTCACACATGGCTTGTTCCCCTTTTCTGTAAAACCCCAAAGCTTCTGTCAGGCTCTCTAAGACAAATCTTGAGCCTCTTTATTGTGTCTCTCCCAGCGTGGTCATGCTGATTAACGCTCCTTCCCTATCCTTCACCCAATTCACCCCATTTCCTTGACTGGCATTATGGGATGGGTGGCCAAGTGTAATCTGCTGTGACACCCAGAGTTAGGCTTTGGGGCCTAAAACTGCAGTAACAGAAATACATAGGCAAAAGGTGTGCTGCTGTGCACCCGGATGCTTGATTCATGGGAGTCCTGGCACTATTCTTGCAACAATCTCTAAACGGGGCAGTTTAATATTACTCAAAATAGCTGCAAAACTTCTCCCATGCACTGAGAACCAGTGCAGGGCCTCAGACCTGACCCTCAAGGTCTCACTATCCAGCTTCCACCTAGCATTTAGCACCACCCTCCGGATCTTGCTGAGGTCCACGGTAGTCACAGAATGGACGCTGAATTCCATAGAGGGAAAGAGGCATCAAGGCCCTGGCAGTCCGGGAGTCCTCGGTGGACATGAGCACCACTGTGCGCTCCGGAAATGCTACAGCAGCAAACCAGGCAAGTAGCAGCATGGGGGCCACACCTTTATTAACACTCACAGGAACCAGGGAAGCGTTCTGCTGGTCTCCCCGACCCGGGCCTTCCAGGTGGGGTTCAGGCTTGCCCCGGGGCAACCTCTGGTGCTGCAACCGAGTCCACACCCTCTGACTGTGGGCTAAGAGAAGCTGCACCCTGGGCCAGCCCCGAGGGAAGCTTGGGGTCGGACTTTCCAGAGGGGACAGTGTTCTGTGAAGTATCAGGAAAGGAGGTCCGCGGAGAGATCCCAGAGCCCTCGCGTGACAGCTTTGGCGACAAGGTCCTGGAGCTCGAGAACGAGGGGGTCTGGGATGCGATCTGGAAGCCTGAGTTCGACTGGGTCAGGGATGGGACCCGGGAGGCGGTGCGGGTCAGGACCAGGGACTCGAGGCCAGAGGACTCCTGCAAAGCCGCTAGAGATGGGACCAAGGACTGGACCTGAGAAGTCGCACGCGACCGCAAAGAGGGAACCCTGGAGGCTGTTCTTGAGGAGACCATCCATGGTACCTGGGACACCGCGCGCGACCGGGCCCCAGGCGGGACCATGGACGCTGCACGCGAGGGGTCCCTGGAAGCGAACGATCCAGGGCGCGAGCTGGGCTGGGAGGGAGCGGGTGGCTGCCAGAGCGGCGGGCCCTCGGGTCCCCTGCGCAGCCAGCTGTGTACGCGCACCAGGCTCCTTGTGTCCTTGTGCTCCAGCCGCAGCTGCTCACGTTGCTGAAGCAGCTGGTATCGCGTGTCGCGCAGTAACTGCGCCCGGTGGAGCAGCCGCAGCAGCTCCTGCCTCAGGCGTCCGTTGTCCGCCTTGATGGCCTGCGTGTGTACGAGGAGCGCGCGCGCCGCATCCCGCTCCGCGCGCCGCGCCAGGGACTGCACGCTCTGGCGCGCTTCGCGCTCAAAGGCCGCCTTGTCCTCCAAGAAGCGCTTCTTCTCGCGATGCAGGAGCTGCGTGTGCTCCACGCGCATATGTAGCAGCTCGCGCTCCAGGGTCCGGATCCGCGCCAGCTGTTCCAGCTGCAGCTCCTGTAACCAGGCGTGGGTCAGCGCAGGGACGCGGCGAGCCCGCCCCCGGTCCCGCCCCGTCCGCTTCCGAGCTTACTGGCCTTGTAGGGCTGCAGCTCCTGCACCTGCTGCACCATCTGGGCCGCGCGCGCTTCCATATCCAACAGCTGCGTGCGAACCCCGTCCTCGCGCCCCCGGTAGAGTGAAGCAAGCTCGGCTCGCTGCCCTTGTATCTGCTCCAAGTCCACGCGGTTCTGCTGGTCCAGCCCCACTATGGCTTGAGCACAGCGCTGCGCGTGCGCGCTCACATAACTGGCGTAAAGCCGGTTCTCCTCGCGCAAGCGCTGCGCTTCACTGTCCAGGAAGGCGTTTTCTCGCAGCACCCGGTCTACGCGCTCCTCACAGGCCTCCAGCTGCTCCGAGAGTAGCGTGTACTCGCGCTGCAGGTACTGAAAGCGCTCTGACGGCGGCGGCTCTGCACCCTCGCCCGCTGCTCGGCGCCCCGAGGTCGGCCCACGCTTCTTCTTGGGCGTCATGGGTTGGGGCCTGAGGCACAGGGACTGGCGAGGCCACTGACCTACGTCCGCTCCCCCAGCTCAACTCCTATTCCCCAGCCCTGAAATTCTAGGCCCAGGCCTCGGAGTGGGCCGCTTCTCGGGGTAGCAAATGAGGGATGAGAGCACTGTCATCAACCTGTATTCTGGCTCACCTCCCGACCTTGGCTGACCTTTGGGATGCGTCCACTATCAGTAATGTTGGTGTTCGGCCTGCGCAGTCTCCGTGGAGATAGAACTTAGGCGCCCTCCCCCCCGGGACCTGTTGTTTTGGCAACGACCGGACTCTCTTATTCTCCGCAGCTCTCTCCTGAGTCAGGCATGATAGCTGGTACCCCTCAGCCCCTCGTGCTGTAGTCAAGGTTTATAAGGAAAACAATTCAATACAGGGCACATAATTAGGATTATTTTATAGTAGTCACCCGAAGAGTCAAGTACAAAGGAGTGCAGGAAATCTGTTCACACACTAAAAACCCAAAGAATCCAGCTGAGGGCCTGGATCCTACGTCAATGTCCTGCACGAGTCCAGCTGAAGACCTACAGCGCATGACAATCGCACCGTCCACGACCCCCAGCACAGTCCAAGCAGAGGCCTAAACCCCCGGACAATGTTTCATGCAAGTCTGTTTCAGGGATCTGCGCTGGGAAGACCCAAAGATCAGCCGTAGAAACTAGAAGTCCGTGCCAGCGGGATGAAGGATCTGCACCAGCAGGTTGAGTAATCTGCACTGGAGCCAGGAAGTGATGCTCAAAATAAGAACCAGAGCTCCCTGGAAAAGTACCACAGCCGTCCTTAGCAACAGCGAAGTCCTGAGCTCCTCCGACTATAAGAACAGCCAAGTTCAAGTCAGGAAAGTCAGCATGACAAGTTTCTCCAGGAGACTGAACAGTGCACCATCTTCCCCTCGGGAGCCAGGAAGCAATGCTTAAAGTAAGGATTAGAGCTCCCTCAAAGGGATCTGTTACCATTCTCAGCGACAACAAGGTCCCGAGCTCCTCCTACAAGGAGAATAGCCCAGTTTATCAGGAAAGCCAGCATGACAAGCCCCTGCAGGAGAACCAACAACTCCCCCTCCTCCTCTTCCAGTTCCCCTTTTTATGCTGTTGGCAGCACTTCTCAGGTGGGTCCTCCACATCCAGCAGCACGTTGATTCAGTTCAGCTGGGTGTTACACAGTGACCACTAGTTGTCAATCCACCACCACACCCCACGAGCCCTTTCCCACCTAATCACAGGAAGTTTATGCTTTCAGGACAAAGCACTTCCCACATCTGTTCATCTTTTAAGGGCCTCTTGCACCTGAGGCTTCCATAGCAGTGGGGCTACTGGGAGGTGTTACGTGCTTGTCCAGTGAATATCTCTCTGGGGTTCTTTTTTTTTTTTTTTTTTTTTGGTTTTTCTCCGGTACCGGGAACTGAACTCACGACCTTGCGCTTGCCAGGCAGGCGCTTTTTGCTGCTGAGCTAAATCCCCAGCCCCTCTCTGGGGTTCTTAATCCCACACATGTGGTTCACCCTGTGGCTCTCACCTTGTTGGCTTCCTTCCAGGTGGACCAGGTGCTGGAGGGGCTAAAGGATATACCAGGAATTTGTTCTTCTTCTTTTTTTCTTTTTTTGTTGGCTCTGGACACAGGATCATTATTTGATTCAATCCTGACTTGAAAATACGAGCCACCCTTTGGGACCTGGAGAGGCTGCACAGTGTGGTCGGCCCTGCTCTTCATCCTGCTAGAAGCCTGGCAGGAGGTGTTGCTGGACAGCCTCAGACGGCAGCTCAAGTCCACACCTGTTTTGTGTCCTATGAATGCTACAGTGGAGTCTGCCCAAGCCTGTCCTTATTTGCTTGAGTACGGACAGATCTGAAGATCCTAGAGCCCTAATTTGATGAGCAAACGGTTTTAGGAAGGCACACTTGAATAATGATTTGTGTTGAACACACTAATGCTGGTTTTAAAGCCATGGCAATGAACATCACTGAACTTGCTCTAATTCGCTACATTTGCTGGAAAGATGTAACAGGGCCTCTTAAGATTAGGAACAAGGGCGGGGAAGATGGCTCAGTGGCACAGCAAGGTCCTGAGTTTGATTCCTGGAACCAAAAAAAAAAAAAAAAAGAAAGAAAGAAAAGGGTAGGAACACAATTTCTTGTAACAAATGTATTTTTTATAAGTAATTAAATAACACAAACTAATTAATAAAGTAATTAAAAAAACATGACAAGATAACACAGAGTCTCTGTTTTGGCATTAAGATTTTAGAGCAAGTGGTGATGTTGCAGGAAAACCAATATCAAACCAAAGAAGGCAACTTTTATTATGCTAGCAGGCTGGGGAACCCAGAGATTCAAATCACTAGCACCAAGTCAGGTTTGAGTTCAGTTTGAATAGGGTTTGCGAGTGGGAAATACAAAGCTGAGAGCAGGTTACATGGAATTGGTTACATGGAATACAAGAATTATGTCATATTTTGTCAGGTAGGTTTACTTAGAAGGAATTGTTTAACATTCTGGGAAGGAGTGAGGGAGGTGTGAGCAGAGCAAGCAGAGTTAAAAGGGTCCTTGACTGGGCCAATCTGTCCCAGACATGAAGTCCTTGAAGCAAGTTGGAAACAAAATATATTTTTCTAACTAAGGAAAACACAAGCTGGACACAGTCAAGTTGGCCCAGCACGTTATCAAAGAGAAGTAGATAGTCAAGGCTGACTATCTACGTGACAGGCAACATGAGCATAGTCACAGGCTATGAGTTGATTTCTAACTTTTGCTATAATATACTTACAAGTCTGCTATTCTATAAGTATGCCCTTACAATGGCACATGCCTATAATCCCAGCATTCAGGAGGCTGAGGCAGGAGGATTGCCACAAACTCAAGGCCACCCTGGAACTACATAGTGAGTTTAAGACCAACCTGAACTATACCTAGTGAGACTATACCTAGTGAGAAAAAAAGAAAAAGAAAAGAAAGGACTTGGGGCATAGTTCAGTGCAAAGTACCCTGGGTTCAATCCCCAGTACTAAAAAAATAGAAACATGACTCATAAGCTAAAGCAGCATGTGGAGACTGGGCTTAAAACAGAGGCCTTTAATATGAAAGTGGTGTCTAATTTATTACAGAAAATTGGGGAAAAAACAAATAGAAGCCCTACAGTAGGGACTTTTCCATCCTGTCCTAGCCCCTCATGCCTGCATGTGCATACCAAGGCCCCTCTCTGGCACCCTCAGGGCTCAACAGATTGGTAAAGTAAAATCGTGAAAGTAGAAACTGCTCACTTGTGCCAGGCTGGTCCTCAGCCGGGCTTGGCTCTGATCCTGTGTGCCCGCTCATAGGAGTAGACCTTGCACTGGCCTCAGGTGGTTCCTTCCAGGAGAGGGGAGGGTTTCTGGCCTGGAGAGGCACCCTATGTGTGAGGATGGTGCGTCCAATGTCTGCCACCCTCAGGGGGCAGAACTCACATCCATGGACCCTGGATTTAAGACCCCGTTACCAGTGACATTTCCGCCACCTTCAAGGTCCTTCTTCCCTCTGTCCTTGGGTAGGATAGTGGTCTTTGCTTCTGTCCCTGCCCAGGGCCCTAAGACATGCTTCCCTTGCATCCAGGCTGGGCGCAGTCTGGGGCTGGAAAGGCCCAGGAGGAGGGCCCTACTGTCCGGTGCCTCTCAGTAGCCAGCAGGCCCCTCCACAGCTTTCCCTGTCCTCTGCCCCCATGGCCACTCTGCTATCCCTTCCTCCCGATGGTCCTTTCCTACAGAGTGAGTGCCCCTCCTCCAGGAGCAGGCAGTGGGGCTGGGCTGTGTGCTGGACCCTGGGCTGCGCACTCCCAGCAGCCTCTGCTCCCATTTCACACATGGAGAAACTGAGGCATGGAGTGATTTGTCGAGGCCCCTCTGGAAGCACTTGGACGTCGGTAGCCTCTTCCCACCTCTCTGTGATGCCTCTCACAGAGCCCTCTTCCTCACCCCTGCCTTGTGTCCTGGGGCAAGGGCCAAAGGCAGACGGGGCCCAGCACGTAGCTGGAGCCTGAGACCTTCCACCCGCAGAGGCCCACTTTTCCTGCAGAGTTGGGAGATGCCAGAGTCCCCGTCCCTGGAGCTCAGCCCTGGGTGTGAGCCTGAGGCCCACAGGGGCAGCCAGATGCTGACCGGTGGTCAGATGATGAAATACCAGGCACCTGGCAGGAATAAGTGCCCAGCCCCACCGTGGGGAACTCACTCTTTGTCAGAAGCAGAGAGCTGATGGCAACCACCATGGCGACAGAGACTTGGCCAGGACAGTGCGTGAGGTCCAGAGGAGTCTGGCCAGTGTGATCTCAGGCTGGGGTCAAGCCCTGGAGGCCGTGGGCCTGGCGATCTGTGTGCCCTGGGCCCAGTTAGAGCCTGCCCCTCCCCCACTCCAGCCCCTACTGAGGTGGAACAAGGGCCTGCCCCTCCCCAGCCAGGTACACTGGAAGCCATGCCAGAGCCACATGAGGCTCACAGTTAACCGCAGGTGTGAGGCCTAGGCCCCAGTTGTCCTGGGAGGAAGCACTCTGCCCCCTCACCACATGGTCCAGTTAAAGCTGTGGCTGCTGCCACTCTCTTCCCCAGCGCCAGGACAGGCCTGCGTCAGGGGGCCCTGGTGGGTACATGGAGCACGTGGACCCAGGCTCTGGAGTGCTGTAGCTGTTGGAGGTGGTAACTTCAAGGGTGTTCAGGCTGGGCTCCCAGTTATGCCTGACCAAGGCAGCGGGGGCCTACATGGGACCGTGGGGTGCTCACCACCTCTTCTGTGAGGGAGAGGGTAGGAAACAGGATGCCGGGGGTCCAGAGCCCAGGACTCAGCTCCACACACACTCTGAGAGACCCCAGAGGCAGTGAAAGGGGTGCCCAGCCAGGGCATGCCTCGCCTAACCCCTCATTCCCAAGTCCAAGCCTTCAGATGCACGATCCCAGGCACAGCTAACTCTACAGCCCATATACAGTCTACCCTCCGAGGAAGAGTCCAGACAAGGGGCAGGAGGCCAAAGCCTGGGCACCTGAGCTTGGGAGCAGGCGAGAGAAGGCAGCTTTGGAACCCAGGGTGGTGGCTGCCTGCAAGGTCCACTATCTTAGTGGAGGTAGTGTATGATACAAGATGGGCAGTGGGCAGGCTGTAGCACAGAGGGGGACAGCTGAGCCCTGTCCCCTTTCTCTCTTACTCTGCTTCCTGGCTGCCACGCAGCAAGCAGCCTCCCTCTGCCGTGGTGATGTACCTGCCTTGGAGCCAGTTGACCACAGACTGTGATGGCTTGTATCTAGATGTCCACCCAGAGCCTCCTGAGGTCATAGGTGGGGTTTTTCAGAGCCAGAGCTGGCTGGATCTAAGGGATGTGCTGCTGGGATTAAGGGTGTGGTGCTGAATTACTCACTGATTGGAATTAGCATAGTTCTGGGTGTAGATAATGGGAAGGCCCATCCTGG